TCATTACGGCGCAGGGAGGAATGACTAAGTAGTGTGGTGTCCATGTGTCCTCGTCAGATGTCTCCAACAATGAACCTGGGGGATGGCGGTGCAGGTGAGAAGAGTTTGTTGCATCCCGTTCCTGAATGGAATGAGGGAAATCTGTAAATTTTAAGTAAAAATTCACCTTTTTCCTGTTTTAAAATAAAAAAAAAAAAAAAAGATGGCTCCAATCAGCCAAAACATTGTGACCTCTGAAGGTGAAGATAACATTGATGATCTTGTGACCATGACACCTGAAAGTGGCCAGGATATAGAAGGCAGCAAGCGAACATGTTGTCCCTGAAGTTGATGCTTTGAAAGTAGAAAAAAAATGGAAAAGCTTAAAGATGTGAGGGACTTTGACAAGGACCAAATTGTAATGTCTAGGAGACGGGGACAGAGCCGCTCCAGAACTGCCGCTCTTGAGGGGTGTTCCCGGTCTGCAGTGGTCGGGACCGACCAAAAGTGGGCCAAGGAAGGGAAACCGCAGAACTAGCGGCAGGGTCACGGGTGGCCAAGGTTCAGTTGATGTAAATGGGGGAGGGGGGGGCTCATTGATGGAGGTGGGGGGGGGGGGGCTTATTGATGGAGGTGGGGGGGGAGGCTTATTGATGGAGGTGGAGGGGGGGCTTATTGATGGAGGTGGGGGGGGGGAGGCTTATTGATGGAGGTGGGGGGGGAGGATTATTGGTGGGGGGGGGGCTTATTGATGGAGGTGGGGGGGGAAGGCTTATTGATGGGGCGGGGTGGGGTGCGAATAGACTAATTTATGGAGGAGGTTGGGGGGAGCTCATTGATGGAGGTTGGGCGGGGGGGAGGCTCATGGGTGGGGGGGTAGGCTCATTGATTGGGGTTGGTCTGGGGGGGGGCTCATTGATTGGGGTTGGGGAGGAGGCTTATTGATGGAGATGGGAAGGCTCATTGATTAGGGTTGGGGGCTCATTGATGGAGGTGGAAGGCTCATGGGTTGGGGGGGGGGGGGCTCATTGATGGAGGTGGAAGGCTCATTGATTGGGGTTGGGGGGGGGCTCATTGATGGAGGTGAGAAGGCTCATTGATTGGGGGTGCGGGGGCACATTGATGGAGGTGGGAAGGCTCATTGATTGGGGTTGGGGGGGGGGCTCATTGATGAAGGTGGGAAGGAGGCTCATTGGTTGGGGGGGGGGGCTCATTGATGAAGGTGGGAAGGCTCATTGATTGGGGTTGGGGGGCCTCATTGATGAAGGTGGGAAGGCTCATTGATTGGGGTTGGGGGCCTCATTGATGAAGGTGGGAAGGCTCATTGATTGGGGTGGGGGGGGGCTCATTGATGGGGTGGGAAGGCTCATTCATTTTGGGTTGGGGGGGCTCATTAATGGATGTAAGAAAGGCTCATTGATTGGGGGGGGCACATTGATGGAGGTGGGAAGGCTCATTGATTGGGGTTGTGGGGCTCATTGATGAGGTGGGAAGGCTCATTGATTGGGGTTGGGGGGGGGGGGGGGGCTCATTGATGGAAGGTGGGAAGGCTCATTGGTTGGGGGGGCTCATTGATGAAGGTGGGAAGGCTCATTGATTGGGGTTGGGGGCCTCATTGATGAAGGTGGGGAAGGCTCATTGATTGGGGTGGGGGGGGGGGCTCATTGATGGAGGTGGGAAGGCTCATTGATTTGGGGGGGGGGGCTCATTGATGGAGGTGGAAGGCTCATTGATTGGGGTTGGGGAGGAGGGGCTTATTGATGGAGGTGGGAAGGCTCATTGATTAGGGTTGGGGGGCTCATTGATGGAAGGTGGAAGGCTCATTGATTGGGGTTGGGGGGGGGGGGCTCATTGATGGAGGTGAGAAGGCTCATTGATTGGGGTGGGGGGGCACATTGATGGAGGTGGGAAGGCTCATTGATTGGGGTTGGGGGGGGGGGGCTCATTGATGAAGGTGGGAAGGCTCATTGGTTGGGGGGGGCTCATTGATGAAGGTGGGAAGACTCATTGATTGGGGTTGGGGGCCTCATTGATGAAGGTGGGAAGGCTCATTGATTGGGGTTGGGGGCCTCATTGATGAAGGTGGGAAGGCTCATTGATTGGGGTGGGGGGCTCATTGATTGAGGTGGGAAGGCTCATTCATTTGGGTTGGGGGGGCTCATTGATGGAGGTAAGAAGGCTCATTGATTTGGGGGCCTCTTGATGGAGGTGGAAAGGCTCATTGATTGGGGTTGGGGGGGCTCATTGATGGAGGTGGGAAAGTTCATTGATTGGGGGGGGGGGGGGGCTCATTGATAAAGGTGGGGGGGGCTCATTGGGTTTTGTTTTTTTTTTTTTTTGTTGGGGGGGGGGGGGGCCTGCAGCAGGGCTAAGTATATTTAAATTTAAAAAAAAAAAATGTCCACTGCTTCATGTCCCTGGCGTCGGGCGTTAGGAATTTTGTATCCCGGTCCTTTTTTTTTTTCTGCATATTTTTGGCTTTAACTTTTTTTTTTTTTTTTTTTTTTTTTTTTTTTTTTTCTTCTTTTTTCTGGATTTGCGGACCGAGGGGGTTAAGCAGGAAGGTGATTTCAATGATGAGAACTGGACCGCAGTTAATGATAAATAGCTGCAAATTCCCTTTGTGGTTTGATGTATATCCTGCTGTACGCAGACATCAAAGAGCTGTCAGAGGAAGCTGCCCATGGACCGTTAATTTATCACGGCTCTGGAAGGCAATCCATAATCCCCCCCCCCCCCTCACACAACTCCAACCCCCCCCCCCCCCCCCCCCCCCCCATCTCTCCTTCTGCTTTATGATAACCTAAACCTCAACCCGAACCTTGCTGAGTCCACCGAGAGAACTGCATCAAACCGCGCTGTCACCCCAGCCGCACCGCTCATCCGCTTTGATCACTCCGCGGGAACTGAGGATGGCTTAAAGGGACGTTCCTGTAGGTCGTGCGTTTTTTTTTTTTTTTTTGCTGCTCCTCGGCTCGAAAGAAAATGGACTGAAAAAGAAGAAAAATCTGTAAAAAAGGATCACGTCTTGATGTCACGCATGCACTTTGCTTTTTGATTTGCAAGACCAAGTGGAAGGTCTGGTCGGGTTTAAAGTGGCTGTAAATCCTTCCATATTCCTAGCCGAGTGACCGGCCTCAGAGATGAAACAAATCCTCCTACATGAGTTGTACCTGTTTATCTGCGGTCAGTTGTCCCCTACAGCCATTCAAAGTGCAGAACCTATACAGCTTGTCCGAGCTTTCAGAAAGTGGGGGGTGGGGAGCTGAAGTTGCACTCTGCAGAGCTCTGTCAGAGAGGGACACACCTCCTTCACACCGAAACAGAGCTCTGGTTGTCAGTCACAGGCTGTGCGGTTAGTTTGAATGGCTGTAGAGGGGCGCTACAGATAAACCGGTACAACTTCCATAGGATTTGTTTCCTCTGTGTATGACCTGCAGTCTGGCACTTCACTGGGTGTATGGAAGGGTTTACAACCCCACAAACGCTCCAGACCGTGGTTGGGACAGCAGGCACTTCAAAGGGTGGTTTACTTCAGAAGATTGGTTGAGTTAAGTGCGAGTTTAAAGCGTTCCTAAACCCCCCAACAGGACAATCGGTCTGTAGATGCAGCAAAGCATGCTGGTTATACTCAGAGGGACCTAAGGGGTTAATCCTCCGCATTGTGTAAAAAGGCTGTTTGATCCTCCCCCTTTTCTACTGTCCCCAATCCATCTGCTGATAGTACAGAGCTCTAGGTGTCACTTTGCACATGCTCAGTTTGGTGTGTATTGCTGGAGCAGGGTTTTTTTTTTTCTTTGGGAGGGTGCATGTGATCAGCACAGGGCCAATCAGCACTGTCCAGACAGAGGGTTAGGGGTCATGCAGCCTCATAGGGCAGTGAGAGGAGAATGAAAACTCCTTCTGCAAGCTTTAACCAATGCTCAGCCGGACAGTCATAAGACTGCTCTATACTGCTGATGAGAACAGGGATTTAGCAGTTTATATTTAGTAAAATAATCGCATTTCCATGTCCTGTGTACTGTGGGAGAATGCGGGGTCTGGGGATATAGTGAATGCGGGGTCCGGGGAGAGAGCAGATATAGTGAATGCGGGGTCCGGGGAGAGGGATATAGTGAATGCGGGGTCCGGGGAGAGCGGATATAGTGAATGCGGGGTCCGGGGAAAGCGGCGGGGTCTACAGTATAGTGAATGCGGGGTCCGGGGAGAGCGGACACAGCGAATGCGGGGAGGTGGGATCTAGCGAATGCGGGGTCCGGGGAGAGCGGACACAGCGAATGCGGGGTCCGCTAGGCGGGATCTAGCGAATGCGGGGTCTGGGTAGAGCGGATATAGTGAATGCAGGGTCCGGGGAGAGCGGACACAGTAAATGCGGGGTCTGGGGAGAGCGGATTGGTTTAAAATGCGGGGAGGCAGGATCTAGCGAATGCGGGGTCGGGGGGAGAGCGGACACAGCGAATGCGGGGTCCGGGGAGAGCGGACACAGCGAATGCGGGGAGGTGGGATCTAGCAAATGCGGGGTCTGGGTAGAGCGGATATAGTGAATGCGGGGTCCGCTAGATCCTGCCTCCCCAGACCCCGCAGTTGCTATATCCACTCTACCCAGACCCCGCATTTGCTAGATCCCGCCTCCCCGAATACGGGGTCTGTGTAGAGCGGATATAGTCAATGCGGGGTCCCGGGAGGCTGGATATAGCCAATGCGGGGTCCAGCGTTTAGTAACACTTTAAGTGCACTTCTCCTGCGCTGGGGCCGAGCAGCTCGCTGGTCATGTGTTGGGTACCAGTAGACAATCTCCAAGTGTTTACACCACCTGAATGGTGCCTGAATGTTCTGTGTTTGGATGAGCTTCCCAGTACAATCCAATGACATGAAATGACCATTCTATGTGACAATGCTGGGCCTCGGCTTCTTGGCTCCTTCAGTGACGGGAGCGATCGGTTTCTGCATGGAGTTATAGGGAAGGTCAGCAATGCCTTCATCCACTCGCCCTGTAATAATGTCCTCTCTCTCTGCTGCAGAGTTTGAAGCCGATTCAGACCGCGTTTACTCTGAAAGAGAATACATCTGGCGGTTTGGACGCGGCTTCGCGGATGTAAGACAGAAGATGGAGAGCAAACCGAATGCCTGTTTGTACCATAATTCATTTCCTACTCTGGATCGATCATGAGGACGATCATAAAAACCGCACAATGTACCAACCGGGAAGATGTACAGCCGACCCCGGCCAGGTGAAGGGAAGATTGCTGGCACACCGGCGCTGTTCTCACAGTTGTATGCAAATTACAAATATGGAGAAAACATGATTTTCCTGTTGTTTTGGCTTTAGCTACTTTGCATTTAAAGAAACACTTTTTTTTTTTAATTGTGGATAAAACTACATTGATGTAAATCTTGTTAGTATTTTGCTTTCTCGTTTTCTGTTTTTATTTTTTTCCCTCTCTTTTTGTGTGTGTTTTTTTTTTTTGCCTGTATTAAAAAATACATGTACTCACACACCCTAGAGAGTGTGTGGCTGTATTAAAAAATTAAATATATAATACATACACCCCCCCCCCCCAGAAAATGAAAGGAAGGCTTTGGAATCCGAGTCTAGCGTCAAGTCCATGAAACTCTTGGGATATTGATCTGGTCAGGTAAGTAGCAGAGGGGGTTGTTAATCAGTTTCAGCTGCTTTGGTGGTAATGAAATAAACAACAGGTGCAAAAGATGGGCAACAATGAGATAACTCCCAAAACAGGAATGGTTTTACAGGTGGGGGCCACTGACATTTTTTTTTTTTACTTACTCATCTCTTCTGACTGTTTTTCACTAGTTATGCATTTGGCTAGGGTCAGTGTCACTACTGGTAGCATGAGGTCCATACCTGGACCCTACAGAGGTTGCACAGGCAGTCCAACTCCTCCAGGATGGCACATCAATACCTGCCATTGCCAAAAAGGTTTGCTGTGTCTCCCAGCACAGTCTCAAGAGCATGGAGGAGATTCTGGGAGACGAGCATGGAGGAGGTTCCGGGAGACAAGAGCATGGATGAGATTTCGGGAGACGAGCATGGAGGAGGTTCCGGGAGACAAGAGCATGGAGGAGGTTCCGGGAGACAAGAGCATGGAGGAGGTTCCGGGAGACAAGAGCATGGAGGAGGTTCCGGGAGACAAGAGCATGGAGGAGATTTCGGGAGATGAGCATGGAGGAGGTTCCGGGAGACAAGAGCATGGAGGAGGTTCCGGGAGACGAGCATGGAGGAGGTTCCGGGGAGACAGGCATGGAGGAGGTTTCGGGAGACAAGAGCATGGAGGAGGTTCTGGGAGACAAGAGCATGGAGGAGGTTCCGGGAGACAAGAGCATGGAGGAGATTTCGGGAGATGAGCATGGAGGAGGTTCCGGGAGACAGAGCATGGAGGAGGTTCCGGGAGACGAGCATGGAGGAGGAGGAGGTTCCAGGAGACAAGAGCAGGAGGTTCCAGGAGACAAGAGCATGGAGGAGATTCCAGGAGACAAGAGCATGGAGGAGATTCCAGGAGTTTTCCTCTAGGAGGTTCCAGGAGACAAGAGCATGGAGGAGGTTCCAGGAGAGGGCAGTTCCTCTAGGAGAGCTGGACAGGGCCATAGAAGGTCCTTAACCCATCAGCAGCACTGGTATCTGCTTCCTTGTGCAAGGAGGAACAGGATGAGCCCTGCCAGAACCCTACAAAATTTACCTCCAGCAGGCCACTGGTGGGAATGTCTCTGACCAAACAATCAGAAACAGACTTCATGAGGGTGGCCTGAGGGCCCGACGTCCTCTAGTAGTGGGCCCTGTACTCGCTGCCCGGCACCATAGAGCTGGATTGGAAATTACAACCGTCTGCGCTGTAAAGCACAGTGCCACCAGCAGGTGATCCAGGTCCTTACAAACTGGCTCAGAATACTCGCCCTCCTCCCACAAAGACTGCTGCTCAGTGAATTGCACGCAGGCGATGCCAAGGCCAATTCTGGTGTTTAGGCTGGTTACATGTAGGGATGCATTTAATGAATACATAATTGCATTAAATGGAGATGTTAAGTTAAGGTTTATAAAGCGCAGTCCTACTAAACTCCCTCCCATCGCCCTCCCATCGCCCCTCCCATCGCCCCTCCCATCACCCCTCCCATCACCCCTCCCATCGCCCCTTAGCAAGAGGTTGCAGATGGAGGGAAAAGGATCGGATTAAAATGTCAAAAAGGCTTTAGATGATACTTAGTTCTTGCCTGTCCAGACCTGCACCTTCAGAGGATTTAGTAACAATGGATGATGCCTTCCCCCCTAACCCCGCGCTTTCTTTCAAGCTCTCTTAGTCCAGAATATTTGTTCTGCCATGACTTTTATTTTTTAAAAAAATTAATAATTCATCTCTTACAAATTGACCTTTTTTTGGGCAGACTCAAAAATCCAATTAGAACTGGTGCTTCATTGTGCATAGTAAACGTCATTGCAGTTGGTATGCTAGACGGGGCCGGTGCTCTGAGAGGCAGAAGCTGCTCAAGGAGCTCCTAGCAACTTGTGGAGGAACTCCAGGATTCCATGGAACCCACGTTGTGAAGGACTGCTCTGAGAGATGAATCCGTATATGTGTGAAATGGCGGGTGCCGTTTATGATCAGCATAAACGGCGCCCGTTAGAATGGCACTACCCAAGGTGATAACGGTGTCAGACCTTGTTTTAACCACTTGCCATCCGCCTGCTGTTTATAAACGGCCGGATGGTGTCACGCCAGAGGCGGGTTGCCGTTCATAAACGGCACCCGTCATTTCTAGCTGTGCGTGCTCCCTGGGAGCGCGCAGCACCGCGATCCGGTGCCTGCTGTGTCTTCCGGACACAGTGAAACACAGATCGTCAGATGGGACCTCTGTACGAGGTCCCGATCATGTGATCACTGATAGGTCAATCAGTGATCACATGCAAAGTAGTAAGCAATGATGTCACTTGTGACATCATTGCTTACTACGTGTGAAATCTGAATGATCACAGAGGTCACATGGTACAAGGCTATTCACAACAGCCTTGTACCATGTGACAAGCTGTGACCAATCACAGCTCACTCAGTAGTTATCAATGGCCTGTGCACGCTCCCTGAGAGCGCGCAGCACCACGATCTGGTGCCCACTGTCTTCCGGACACAGCGAAACACCGATTGCTGTACAGGACTTCTGTGTGAGGTCCTGATTCATAAGATCCCCGATTGGCCAATCAGTGATCACATGAATAGTAGTAAGCACTTCTGACATCATTGCTTACTACTAGTGAAATCTATGAATGATCACAGAGGTCACATGGTACAGGGCTATTCACAACAGCCTTGTACCATGGGACAAGCTGTGACCAATCACAGCTCACACAGTAGTTCTCAATGGCTGCAAGAATGCAGACAGAGAGCAAGAGAAATTATTGCTTTTACATCCTATATGAGTGTAAAAGCAATCACTGTAAAAAATCATCACCCCCCACAAGTAGTACAGTGTCACCATGGTGACACTGTACTGCTAGGGTGACAGTATGAAAAAAAACATAAATAATATAAAAATTTAAAAAAAAATTTAAAATTATAATTTTTGGTTAAACTAATTTGGCTTATTTTTTTGTTTTTTACTAAAAAGATAACAGAATACATTTCGGCCAATATTTATGATGAAAGATTATTTATTTGCAAAATTTTATAACAAAAACACTTTTTTTCAATATTTTTGTTACTTTTTCATTTACGTAGCAAAAAAAAATAAAAATCCCAGCGGTGAATAAATACCACCAAAATAAAGCTTTATCTCAAAAAAATGGTAAAAAATTCATATGGGTACAGTGTTGCATGACCGCGCAATTGTCATTCAAAGTGTGAGAGCGCTGAAAGCTGAAAATTGCCCTGGACAGGAAGGGGGTGAAAGTGTCCGGGACTGGAAGGGGGGGGGGGGGAAAGTGTCCGGACTGGAAGGGGGGGAAGTGTGTCCGGGGGGGGGGGGGGGGAAAGTGTCCGGACTGGAAGGGGGTGAAAGTGTCCGGACTGGAAGGGGGGGGTGTCCGGAAAGTGTCCGGACTGGAAGGGAGGGGAAAGTGTCCGGACTGGAAGGGGGTGACCTGAAAGTGTCCGGACTGGAAGGGGGTGAAAGTGTCCGGACTGGAAGGGGGGGAAAGTGTCCGGACTGGAAGGGGGTGAAAGTGTGTCCGGACTGGAAGGGGGGTGAAAGTGTCCGGACTGGAAGGGGGGTGAAAGTGTCCGGACTGGAAGGGGGGGAAAGTATCCTGACTGGAAGGGGGGGGGGAGGCATCCGGACTGGAAGGGGGTGAAAAAGCGTCCGGACAGGAAGGGGGTGAAAGCGTCCGGACAGGAAGGGGGGGGAAAGCGTCTGGACTGGAAGGGGGGGGAGTGTCCAGACTGGAAAGGGGGGGGAAGCGTCCGGACAGGAAGGGTGTGAAAGCGGACTGGAAGGGGGGGAAAGCGTCCGGTCTGGAAGGGGGGGGAAAGCGTCCGGACTGGAAGGGGGGGAAAGCGTCCGGTCTGGAGGGGTGAAAGCGTCCGGACTGGAAGGGGGGGAAAGCGTCCGGTCTGGAGGGGGGGAAAGCGTCCGGACTGGAAGGGGTTAATGGTGATTGGAGGACCGTTTAGGTCCTATTGACCACCTTCATGTATTTGATCTCAATAAAGTTCATTTTGTCTGGTTACACTGCGGTTGGTCCTCCTTTGAGGCCCATGTTAAGGTGGTCTCTCTTGGACCCCTGTTTGTTCTTTATAGTAATGAACGGCACTAGTTTGTTTCCTTTGAAGTCATTACAGGTCCACTTTAAAATGAAGGAAAGGAAGCACATTATTTTAGCTGTTCTCATTGGGGTGTGTTCATTGTTTGTTTGCTTTCTGACATCCTCTTAATTGCACATCAACAAATTAGGCATCATCTGCTGGAGGAACACATGCGGCTTGGAAGAATCCTCCAATGCCAATGAATGACAGCTTAGCCTGACCCTTTTCCCTGTCAGCCACTTCGCACAGCAGGGCTTGAGCTGAAACAGATGCAGAATGGACTTTATCATTACCGAAGAGGTGTAGCTGTGCTGCCACTATATTCGGAGACTTTACGGACGATTATGTGATTTCCTAAGCAAATGAAAGCGGATGTCTAGTGTTTGTACATATACTTTATTATGCTCCATAATGAAAAATGGATTCTTTTTTTTAGTACGTTAGATTTTCATTTGGTTGATTTATTACTATGACATAAAGAAACTTTCTTAGATCTGAGTAGCAAAATATCAGATTTCTGAAAGCTGAATAACAGGAGATAGTAAAAGTGGTTCATTTTTAAACTAGAGACAGGGGAGTAGATAAGGGGGGGATGTGGGGGTCCGAACCTCCCACAAGCATCGGGATGGGTTGCTGATCACCATAGAGCTGTTGGGAGACCACAAAGAAAGAAAGAACAGACCACGTGGATGAATCATGCAGGCTCCCGGAGACTTTGGTTGGTTTAGTGCCATTGCTGTTGCTGATCTCTCAAGTGTTTTTACTGCTCATATGAACAAATACAGTATTTGGCCTCGTGGACATACGAAGCAATAAATATGGCGTATGCCTGGGAAGACAGGAATGGCTGTACCCATCAATCTCCATGCACATCCATTCATGGGCAGCAGAGTGACTAAATGATTAGCATTTCCACCTGGCAGTTCTCGGGTCGCTGGTTCAAATCCCAACCACGACACCACCTGCCTGGAGTTTGGATGTTCTCCCTGTGCCTGTGTTGGTTTCCTCGAGGTACTCCGGTTTCCTCCCACACTCCAAAGACATGCTGGTAGGTTCATTGGCTCCTGTCTAAATTGTCCCTAGTATGTGTATGCATGAATGTGAGTTAGGGAGTTTAGATTGTACGCTCCTCGGGGGCGGGGACTAATGTGAATGTACAATATATATGTGAAGCACGGCGTAAATTGACGGTGCTATATATAAGTACTATATATATATGTGTCTATGGGCAGCACATTGCCTAAATGGTTAGCACTTCCGCCTGGCAGTACTAGGGTCTTTGGTTCAAATCCCAGCTATGACACCACCTGCCTGGAGTTTGGATGTTCTCCCTGTGCCTCCGTGGGTTTCCCCGAGGTACTCCGGTTTCCTCCCACATTCCAAAGACATGCTGGTAGGTTAATTGGCTCCTGTCTAAACTGGCCCTAGTATGTGTATGTATGAATGTAAAGTTAGAGACCTTAGATTGTACGCTCCTCGGGGGCGGGGACTGATGTGAATGTACAATATATATGTGAAGCGCTGTGTAAATTGACGGCGCTATAGAAGTACCTATTATATATATATATGTCTATGTGCATCTCTATGCAGCACCTGGTGTTCCCGTTGTGTTGCTATAGCTATATTTGTGATTTTCTTTTTTTAGAAATATTATGGAATGATTTTTATTACCATGTATCGTTTTTAAAAGCCAGGCTTCCCCTATTCATATGCTAATAAACTTCATGGAGCTCATGCAAGAGGACGTGATGTTGGCAGGAAGTAGGGGGAGGGAGCAAAGGACTTGAACTCGTGCCGGAAATTCTACTTTCTCATACAAAAAAATGCAGCGCAACAAAACCTCAATGGATCTACGTGACGTCATCGTGCAAACCTGGAAGTGGAAGAATTGTTTCTCTATGGTAGCATTGCTGCGGTTCATTCTCAATCCACATCGACTATTTTTAATCCTTATGCTGCTATCAGTAAATAGATGGGAAGGAATATTATATTTGCTTCTTTTTACATTTCTTCAGGTACTTCCTAGTTTCCATGCCTAGACATCTCAGGAGGGGAGGAGGGGCTTTCTCAGCTAAGCACACCCCCCTGCCCGTATGCCTGAGCTAAGGGCATATGATTTCCAGGAAGTAAATGCTACATGAATCATCTGCCCTTATTCAAGATGGCCACGGCCAGAAATACTAAGGGGGTGTTTTTCTAAGTGATTTCTCGGCAAAATAAAGCATGGAGACACAGATGGATGGGGGATATTGCTTTGAATATCTGAGTCTTGTTGCTGACCATGTCCATCGCTTAATGACCCCCAGCATCCCCATCTTCTGCTGGCTCCTTCCACCAGGATAATGCTCCATGTCACAAAGCTCAAGTCATCTCCAACTGGTTTTTTGAACATGACAATGACGTCACTGTCCTCCAATGGCCTCCACAGTCACCAGATCTCCAACCAATAGAGCACCTTTGGGATGTGGTGGAACGGGAGATTCGCATCATGGATGTGCAGCCAACAAGTCGGCAGAAGTGTGTGATGCTATCATGTCAAAATTTTTTGCAATACAAAATGTCCCGGAGGACGCATTAAATTCGTGAACCGAGGTACGCCTGTATACATTTTTGTATGTAAGTATTTCAGGTGGAACTCCCTCCTCATTGGCTTACCTTTACATAGGCTATCCCCCCTCCAGTCCATCATGAATACGGCTGCCAGGCTCATCCACCTCACCAACTGTTCAGTGTCTGCTACCCCTCTCTGCTAATCCCCCCACTGACCTCCACTCAGTTTCCTCCACCCCTCTCTGCCAGTCCCTCCACTGGCTTCCATTCAGTGTCCTCCACCCCTCTCTGCCAATCTCTCCACTGGCTTCCATTCAGTGTCCTCCACCCCTCTCTGCTAATCCCCCCACTGACCTCCACTGTGTCCTCCACCCCTCTCTGCCAATCCCTCCACTGGCTTCCACTCAGAGTCCTCCACCCCCCTCTGCCAATCCCTCCACTCAGTGTCCTCCACCCGTCTGCCAATCCCTCCACTCAGTGTCCTCCACCCCTCTGCCAATCCCTCCACTGGCCTCCACTCAGTGTCCTCCACCCCTCTGCTAATCCCTCTGCTGGCCTCCACTCAGTGTCCTCCACCCCTCTGCCAATCCCTCCACTCAGTGTCCTCCACCCCTCTGCTAATCCCTCTGCTGGCCTCCACTCAGTGTCCTCCACCCCTCTCTGCCAATCCCTCCACTGGCTTCCATTCAGTGTCCTCCACCCCTCTCTGCCAATCTCTCCACTGGCTTCCACTGTGTCCTCCACCCCTCTCTGCCAATCCCTCCACTGGCTTGAACTCAGTGTCCTCCACCCCTCTCTGCCAATCCCTCCACTGGCTTCCACTCAGAGTCCTCCACCCCCCTCTGCCAATCCCTCCACTCAGTGTCCTCCACCCGTCTGCCAATCCCTCCACTCAGTGTCCTCCACCCCTCTGCCAATCCCTCCACTGGCCTCCACTCAGTGTCCTCCACCCCTCTCCGCTAATCCCTCCACTGGCCTCCACTCAGTGTCCTCCACCCCTCTGCCAATCCCTCCACTGGCCTCCACTCAGTGTCCTCCACCCCTCTGCCAATCCCTCCACTCAGTGTCCTCCATCCCTCTCCGCCAATCCCTCCACTGTCCCCCACCCCTCTCTGCCAATCCCTCCACTGGCTTCCACTCGCCCAACGAATAAAATTAAAAATACTAAGAACAACTTACAAAGCCATCCACAACTCTGCCCTCAGCTGCATCACCAACCTGGTTTCAAAATAGCAACCAAACGTCTCTCTTTGATCCTCCCAAGACTTTCTGCTCTCTAGTACCCGTGTCACCTCCTCCCACGCTCACATCCAGGACTTCTCCCGAGCTTCTCCCATCCTGTGGAACTCCCTACCCCAATCTGTCCAGCTGTCTCCTAATCTATCCACCTTTAGAAGATCCCTAAAAACCTCTCTCTTTGAAGAAGCCTATCCTGCTTCTACCTAGTAAACTGCCATTTATTTCCTCCATCAGCTCCTCCCCACACAGCTATTACCTTTTGTATCACTCAACCCTTCCTCCTAGATTGTAAGCTCCCAGGAGCCGGGCCCTCCGTTTCCTCTTGTACCAAATTGTATTGTAACTGTAATGTCCGCCTTCATTTTGTACAGCGCTGCGCAAACTGTTGGCGCCATATAAATCCTGTATATAATGTGGGAACATTAGCTGCAACAACTAGCGAATGGGTTGATTTTTTTTGCACATAGGATATGGACACATCAGTAGCTCGGGGCGATTCATTTTGATTTTTGTTGGAATTCTACTTTACTTTGCATTTCAGCCATTGATCAAAACGCACTTGGATGTGAGTCTCTGTAGGAAATCGTTGGCAAGTAGTGGGTTGGGGTTAGAAGGTTGTCAGACCCGAAACTGATAACAGAAGACTTAAAATGTAGCCCCAAAGCGAGGATTAGTTACAGAGACAAGCCAAAAGCATGCCTTACAACAGATGCAAAAGACCCAAAAAAAGAAAATAAAAAATTCAGACCGTATCTGCGCGGAGAAAACATTACTGAGTTTAATTATGGAAAATATGCATCTGCGCTCAAATCTGTTGGTATCCAAGTAAGTAAAACTGTCTTCTATGTGTGATTAACTACTTTTGTGCGCAATGAGACACCCAGATGGCTGCTCGGTCCCTTTTTTTTTTTTTAATTATTAGGGTTTTTTTATTTGTTTTTTTTCTTAAATTCGAAATTCATATGTGGAGGGACGATAGAGCAGATTGGAATCTGAAAGCTGGAGAGGAGAATTGCCGGGGTAAATCATACCGCTGGGGCTATAAACAAAAGCTTTGCCGATTTATGTTGAACCTTCCATATGCGGAGTCTACGCCGGCGTTGAAACGTTTCGGTGCACCAATGAGAGAATGGACGTAAACTGTGCCGGGACGCCTGGTTTGCACCTGTTGGAAGATTTCAACAACTAAACAAAGTCAAAGAGTTGAAACACAGATGTAGAATCTGATTTAACTTCTAAATGATTTGTAAGTGAGGCACCTACGCTTGGTGGTCGCCCTTAGCATACAGCTGTGGCCAGGCGATAAACATGATAAAATAAGAAACGGATATAGCGAGCGCTCACACAATCAGCTGCTAGAACACTCCAAGGAATCACCAGACCTTATAACATAAATAATGAAAAATATATAGTGCAGCACTGTAAAACCAAGTATATACAGTTGCAAGAAAAAGTATGTGAACCCCTTGGGATTACGTGGAGTTTTGCATGAATTGGGCATAAAATGTGCTCTGAACGTCATCTAAGTCACAACAATAGAAGAACACAGTCTGCTGAACATAATACTACACAAACATTAGATGTTGCCATGGTTTAATTGCACATAACATGTAAACATTCACAGTGCAGGGAGGAAAAAGTATGTGAGGCCCTAGCTTAATGACTTCTCCCAGAGCTAATTGGAGCCAGGAGTGAGCCAACCTTGACTCCAATCAGTGGGATGATATTGGATGTGTTGCTGACACCTGTTTTGGGTTTACTGGTTTCAAGAAGCACTGTCTGATGTGAACCATGCCTTGCAGAAAAGAGCTCTCAGAAGACCTATGATCAAGAATTGTTGACTTGCATGAAGCTGGAAAGAGTTACAAAAGTATCTCCAAAAGCCTTGATGTTCATGTGTCCACGGTAAGACAGACTGTCTACAAATGGAGAAAGTTTAGCACTGTTGCTACTCTCCCTAGGCGCGGTCGTCCTGTAAAAATGACTGCAAGAGCACAGCGCAGAATGCTGCATGAGGTAAAGAAGAATCCCAGAGTGTCAGCTAAAGACCTACAGAAATCTCTGGCACATGCTAACATTTTTGTTGACACATCTACAATAAGGAAAACATTAAACAAGAATGGAGTACATGGAGGACACCACGGAGGAAGCCATTGCTGTCCAAAAAGAAGATTGCAGCATGTTTGAAGTTTGCAAAAGAGCACCTGGATGTTCCACAGCACTACTGGCAGAATATACTGTGGACAGATGAAACCAAGGTTGAGTTGTTTGGGAAGAACACACAACACTATGTGTGGAGAAAAAAAGGCACAGCACACCAACATCAAAACCTCATCCCCACTGTGAAACATGGCGGAGGGAGCATCATGGTTTGGGGCTGCTTTGCTGCCTCAGGGCCTGGACGGATTGTTGTCATTGATGGGAAAATGAATTCCAGAGTTTATCAAGACATTTTGCAGGAAAACGTACGACCATCTGTCCGCCAACTGAAGCTCCGCAGAGGATGGGTGATGCAACAGGACAATGACCCAAAGCATACAAGTAATTCAACAAAACAATGGCTGCAACAGCACAGAATACGCCTTCTGGAGTGGCCCAGTCAGAGTCCTGACCTCAACCCCATTGAAATGCTGAGGCATGACCTTAAGAGAGCGATTCACACCAGACATCCCAAGAATATTGCTACACTGAAACAGTTTTGTGAAGAGGAGTGGTCCAAAATGACTCCAGATCGTTGTGCAGGTCTGATCTGCAACTACAGGAAACGTTTGGTTGAGCTTATTGCTGCCAAAGGAGGGTCAACCAGTTATTAAGTCCAAAGGTTCACATACTTTTTCCTCCCTGCACTGTGAATGTTTACATGTTATGTGCAATTAAACCATGGCAACATCTAATGTTTGTGTAGTATTATGTTCAGCAGACTGCGTTCTTCTGTTGTTGTGACTTAGATGATGTTCAGAGCACATTTTATGCCCAATTCATGCAAAACTCCACGTAATCCCAAAGGGTTCACATACTTTTTCTTGCAACTGTACCAAATAAGAGAGCATATAGTTCATAAGTCATTCATGAGCGTGAAAAGATTGCAGATAACTTGACGTGAAAATCTCCTCTATGCAAAAATAGGTGACTGGAACCATGTAGATAAAATGCGCACTCACCGACCGCGCATTAAATATGCGCATGTATAAGACCATCTATCCAGGTAATCAGCCAGATATACGGACCTACGGATCATCCCTCCCAGGTGGATCATCAACCTTGGGTGTAGTAGTAGTAAACGAAAGGTCTAGAGAGCACTCACAACCAGTGCATGAAGATGGATGAGCTCCCTCTCCTGGACATAAGATGTACTGGGAACCAGCTGCAGTAGATCTGAAACCCTCAGAGAGAGGGTCAAAACAGAGAGGGAGTGCCAATAGTGTAGTAGGTTCAAGTTGATTTATTAGGTCATAAGCAGAAAGTAACAACCAGGGGTACATGCATAGAAACACACACTGCCAGCATTTAGGTGGACAGAGAGATAGACAAACATGTACTGACCCGGCACAGTGAGGGACCGCCGGACCTCCTCGTGGTCACGGCGGTGCAGAAAGTCACACGTGCTGTTGGCTCCTCCTGAGGCCTTTCGTGCTACGGCACATCATCAGAGGGTGGACGCCATCAGATAAACGTGATAGTATTGGCATTTTCTGATCAAGCTTTAAAACAAGTCATCACTGATATCTGTAGCTGTAGGCACTGTGGAGCAAATTGTCCTCAAATTTCACAAAATTTCATGAAGTTTTGGCACTCTGCTCTCCCCCTCTTCCTGTGTGCCTGCTCTGTAATTACATTAGAGATGAGAAGGCGGGCACACTGCCAATTCACTGCTAGGAGAGTGGGCAGCACAGTGGCTAAATGGTTAGCACTTCCACCTGGCAGTACTCGGGTCGTTGGTTCGAATCCCAGCCACAGCACCTCCTGCCTGGAGTTTGCATGTTCTCCCTGTGCCTGCATGGGTTTCCTCCGGGTACTCCGGTGTCCTCCCACACACCAAAGGTAGGTGAATTGGTTCCTGTCTAAAATGGCCCTAATATGTGTATGTATGAATGTAATTTAGGGACCTTAGATTGTACACCCCTTGAGGGTTAGGGACTGAAGTGAATGTATAATATATATGTAAGTGATGCGTAAATTGACGGCGCTATATAAGTACCTGAAATAAATAAATAAAGAGAGTCGTTATCAGGACGTGGATCGCATGCTGGTGGCAGAAGGTTGTAGTTTTGGTGTCCTCCCTGCATCCAGCAAATTCCTGTAACCACCTGATGCTGGCTGCTGGGAAGATATTTAGTTATCTACAGTTCTTTGGGGTTTTGCCCTGCTTGCCAGATACTGCTTGTTAATTTTTCCTGGCCTTGCTCTTGCCCTTGCCCTGCATCCTCTACCCTGCTGCCTTGTATCTGCTCCCCTTGTTCCTGATCCAGGACCTGCAAGTGGTGCAGGGTGAGCTGAGTTGCTGAGCCACTGCAGAGAACAAGAGCAGGGTAAGCGGAGTCACTGATGGGAGGGGGAGCAGGATGATCTGAGCCAGTGTTTCTCAACCATGGTGTCTTGAGACCCTGGGGTGCTGCCCGGACTCGTCATGGGTGCTGCGCTGCACCCCGCATTTTTGCACAGTTATGCATTTCTATGGTATCAGCTGCCAGCAGTATGGACATGCATGATGCTAATCTAGGTCAGGCGGCATTCTGGGCCACCCCCCCCCCGCATTCAGAAGAGGATGGAAGTCCTCCATTTGCACCTACTCTGCCTCCTGCCCTCTGCAGTCAGAATACTTGACTAATAACTAACAGGAGCCAATTGCACAATATACACAAAATGGGGAACACAGAAAATCGGGAAACTGGCGGTACAGGGAGCAGATGTCAAGGGAGAACTAAAACAGGGGGCAGGTACAAAGCAGTAGGGTACAACGTATAGGGCAGGAACAGGATAATGGCTAGCAGTATCTGGGAGCAAGCAAAACACTTGAGCGAGAGGCACTTGGTAGGCGAGGACCTGTATACCCTCCCAGCAGCCAGCATCAGGTGAAAACTGATTACTGGGACACACTCTGGTGGACACGGGAATTACAACCCTCCTCCCTGGGATCCACAGTACCACCAGCAGGTGATCCAGGTCCTAATAAGGGGTTGAAGACGTGGGAATCTGATGTGAAAGGGAAGGGGGACTGATGACTCTAATGTGGAAGAAGGGAAACTAATTACTTTGAAATGAAAGGGGGACTAAGGAAATCGATTTTAAAGGATACCAAATGCATGCATCCAGGGATGACCAGATTTGTGTAGCTGCACTTAGAAAACTGAAATCAGATTGAGCATGATTAAAGTAAGTTCATGCACACAACACCAACAGACCATAAGCAAAGCCAGAGTGAAAAATGAACGTGACAGTGGAGAAATACCCAATCAACAACCTAACTATATACACTACATACAAATGGGGGGAAGCTGAAAGAAACAGGGCATGAGTGGGACTGGGAACAAGGGGTACAGAAATGGGGTAACGGTACAAGATAGGGAAGGGATCAGCCAACAGGAATATGGCTAACAGGCAAAACACCGGAATACAGATAACAACTAAGGAAGGGATTATATACAGTTGCAAGAAAAAGTATGTGAACCCCTTGGGATTACGTGGAGTTTTGCATGAATTGGGCATAAAATGTGCTCTGAACGTCATCTAAGTCACAACACAAGAAGAACACAGTCTGCTGAACATAATACTACACAAACATTAGATGTTGCCATGGTTTAATTGCACATAACATGTAAACATTCACAGTGCAGGGAGGAAAAAGTATGTGAACCTTTGGACTTAATAACTGGTTGACCCTCCTTTGGCAGCAATAACCTCAACCAAACGTTTCCTGTAGTTGCAGATCAGACCGGCACAACGATCTGGAGTCATTTTGGACCACTCCTCTTCACAAAACTGTTTCAGTGTAGCAATATTCTTGGGATGTCTGGTGTGAATCGCTCTCTTAAGGTCATGCCACAGCATTTCAATGGGGTTGAGGTCAGGACTCTGACTGGGCCACTCCAGAAGGCGTATTCTGTGCTGTTGCAGCCATTGTTTTGTTGAATGACTTGTATGCTTTGGGTCATTGTCCTGTTGCATCACCCATCCTCTGAGGAGCTTCAGTTGGCGGACAGATGGTCGTACGTTTTCCTGCAAAATGTCTTGATAAACTCTGGAATTCATTTTCCCATCAATGACAACAATCCGTCCAGGCCCTGAGGCAGCAAAGCAGCCCCAAACCATGATGCTCCCTCCGCCATGTTTCACAGTGGGGATGAGGTTTTGATGTTGGTGTGCTGTGCCTTTTTTTCTCCACACATAGTGTTGTATGTTCTTCCCAAACAACTCAATCTTGGTGTCATCTGTCCACAGTATATTCTGCCAGTAGTGCTGTGGAACATCCAGGTGCTCTTTTGGTCTTTAGGTCTTTAGCTGACACTCTGGGATTCTTCTTTACCTCATGCAGCATTCTGCGCTGTGCTCTTGCAGTCATTTTTACAGGACGACCACGCCTAGGGAGAGTAGCAACAGTGCTAAACTTTCTCCATTTGTAGACAGTCTGTCTTACCGTGGGCACATGAACATCAAGGCTTTTGGAGATACTTTTGTAACCCTTTCCAGCTTCATGCAAGTCAACAATTCTTGATCGTAGGTCTTCTGAGAGTTCTTTTCTGCGAGGCATGGTTCACATCAGACAGTGCTTCTTGAAACCAGTAAACCCAAAACAGGTGTGTGTTTTTTTAAGGGCAGGACAGCTGTCAGCAACACATCCAATATCATCACACTGATTGGAGTCAAGGTTGGCTCACTCCTGGCTCCAATTAGCTCTGGGAGAAGTCATTAAGCTAGGGCCTCACATACTTTTTCCTCCCTGCACTGTGAATGTTTACATGTTATGTGCAATTAAACCATGGCAACATCTAATGTTTGTGTAGTATTATGTTCAGCAGACTGTGTTCTTCTATTGTTGTGACTTAGATGACAGTCAGAGCACATTTTATGCCCAATTCATGCAAAACTCCACGTAATCCCAAGGGGTTCACATACTTTTTCTTGCAACTGTACCTTCCCAGCAGCCAGTATCTCAATATCAGAATTTTGAAATCTGCTGGGAGACACCCACTGATGGCCATCAGAACTGCACCCTTCGGTTCTGGGAGCTACAATGCCACCAATAGGTGATCGGGGTCCTGACACTAATATGGAAAGGAGGGAGTGAGGACTCTGATGTGAAAGGGGGATTCAGATGTGACGGGGACTCCTTTTTAGACTGGGGTGCCTCAAGAGATTGCATACTTTTAAAGGTTGAGAAAGACTGAGCTGCTGAGTGTGATAGGAGTCACTTTGGGTGGGGGGGCCCATGGAATCCAGCTCTCTTTGGAGAGGTGGGGAGACCCCTGTCTCAGCTCCCCATATCCCTCTTATGTGTAAGTCACCCTGTGCCTGTTAGGGGTGCAGGGTGATCTGTCCTAATATTGTGTAGACATGTCAAGGAGATAGGTGGGGTGGGGGGGTTGTGGATTGTTTGGTGTTGTGTGGTTGCATCCCATTGTTCTATTGTGTGTCTGGCTTGGGAGAAAACTATTATGGGATTTATGTGTATTGGCTTGGTGGGGGGTGTCTCCAGCAGCCCTCCCTCCTGATGGGTGTGTCTGCTTGTGTGAAGTTTGAATACCTGTGTGTCTCTTGTTACTAAATGTAGATTGCCCCGCCCTGTGTCATTATGCAGGGAGGGGGGACTGTCCCCTGAGTGTATATATATTTGTATCTGTGTTCAAATAAACTAGTCTACTTTCTGGATTACTTCAAGATTGGTGTTGTCTAGTCTTGTATGGCCGGCTGTGGTGTCTGTTGTCGATGTTCGGACGGGGAAGCGGTATTCTAACGGAAGTACCCAAGCGCAGTCTGGGGTCGGTTCCTTTACACTGAGTTTGTGCTGGGAGGGGAAGCTGTGGTTGCTCAAACAACAGTGAAAATGAGGGTGATTGAGGGTGAATTGCTTCACAGTACATGCAGCTACAGAGGTCAATGAAGGCTTCTTTTAGGGCACATTTGCTGCTTAAACTACCCTGATCAAATGTGGCGAAAAAACTCTGATCGCTTCCTATGGGATTGCCACCATTTATATCCCGTATTGATTCCGTGTCAGTTTGATAGCAATATCCCTTCAACCTTTCATTTAATAACTTTATTGCGTTCACGCCATTCCAGGGCTGTCCCATGTGGTAATTCAATAAAATGTCAACCCAAATAAAATTCCACACGTCAAAAGGTGCACATGATTGATACAAAGCCCAGATTTGAGTTCACTGTCAACTGAATTCTCATGGTCGATCGACCTTAGGAGTGGCGGAGCGTTTCATTTCTGACCATTGTTTTTTAGTCGTTTTTGTGATTCTCAGTAGATCGAAAGTGGCTACAAATGTCTGAATATTGTCACGCGGAGACGGCTTTACTGTTCTATATTGCTGAGGATCTTTAAAGGGAATGCCAACATTTTTCATAAACTGCAGTTCTACAAACTTTGTTTTGATACCCCGACCTCCAGCTTGTCCATTGGATGCCTAGAGCAGCCTTTCTCAACCTTTTTATCCCCAGAGGAACTTTTGAGATCATTTTTAGGTCTCAGGGAACCCCTGCTTAAACCAATCCATTGGTGGTCAGTGGGAAGAATGTCCCTTACATTGGTGGTCAGTGGGAAGAATGTCCCTTACATTGGGGGTCAGTGGGAAGAATGTCCCTTACATTGGTGATCAGTGGGAAGAATGTCCCTTACATTGGGGGTCAGTGGGAAGAATGTCCCTTACATTGGGGGGTCAGTGGGAAGAATGTCCCTTACATTGGGGGTCAGTGGGAAGAATGCCCTTACATTGGTGGTCAGTGGGAAGAATGTCCCTTACATTGGTGGTCAGTGGGAAGAATGTCCCTTACATTGGGGGTCAGTGGGAAGAATGTCCCTTACATTGGTGATCAGTGGGAAGAATGTCCCTTACATTGGGGGTCAGGGGGAAGAATGTCCCTTACATTGGGGGTCAGTGGGAAGAATGTCCCTTACATTGGTGATCAGTGGGAAGAATGTCCCTTACATTGGTGATCAGTGGGAAGAATGACCCTTACATTGGTGATCAGTGGGAAGAATGTCCCTTACATTGGGGGTCAGTGGGAAGAATGTCCCTTACATTGGGGGTCAGAGGGAAGAATGTCCCTTACATTGGGGGTCAGAGGGGAAGAATGTCCCTTACATTGGTGGTCGGTGGGAAGAATGTCCCTTACATTGGGGGTCAGTGGGAAGAATGTCCCTTACATTGGTGATCAGTGGGAAGAATGACCCTTACATTGGTGGTCAGAGGGAAGAATGTCCCTTACATTGGTGGTCAGTGGGAAGAATGTCCCTTACATTGGGGTCAGTGGGAAGAATGTCCCTTACTTTGGTGGTCAGAGGGAAGAATCTCCCTTACATTGGCGGTCAGTGGGAAGAATGTCCCTTACATTGGGGGTCAGTGGGAAGAATGTCCCTTACTTTGGGGGTCAGTGGGAAGAATGTCCCTTACATTGGTGGGTCAGTGGGAAGAATGTCCCTTACATTGGGGGTCAGTGGGAAGAATGTCCCTTACATTGGGGGTCAGTGGGAAGAATGTCCCTTACATTGGGGGTCAGTGGGAAGAATGTCCCTTACATTGGGGGTCAGTGGGAAGAATGTCCCTTACATTGGGGGTCAGTGGGAAGAATTCCCCTTATGTTTGTTTTCAATGGGAAGAATGCTCCTTACATTGGTGTCAGTGGGAGGAATAGTGCCCCATCATTGGTGTCATTGAGAGGAATCATTCCCCATCGTTGGTGTCAGGCCTTTCATTAGTTAAAATATTATCTCATTGAAAAAAATAAATAACAATAGTAATTGCCAACCTGTGTGATATTTCTGTGAAATGAACGTTTTGATGCGAATGTGACCAGGAGACGGACCCGGGGAAGTGGTTAAACTATCACAGCGGCGGTGGATTTTGCCCTTTTGTCTCGCTGTTCTGGTGACCTCGCTCTCCTCTAATGTACAGTTGTTTGTTGCATTGTATGTCGCCGGGTCCGGAATGTGCTCTTCATACAGGCAGCCCCAGCGTCCCCGTGGCGCTAATCCGTGCTGTTTTCATACCACAGCCCTCGGATTCTTCCCGTGTTTATGTGTTTTTTTTTTCTTTTTGTGCTTCGCTTTAGTAAAAGGAAAACCCCCCGCAGAGAGGGGCAGTTTTGATCGCACCGGAGAGGAAAGATACAGGGAAGCGTTGCGGCTTGTTGACCGGAACCCAAATCTTTTCAAAGGACGAAGGGGGGGGGGGGGGGGGGGGGGGGGGGGTCCAGCTGCAGCGCATGTTATTGCTGTAAGCGCCAATCTTTAACCAGTTCTGCTCCTGGACACACCTGCACATTCCCCAACGCGGACCGCAGCAACTTTTTTTTTTTACATTTCTGCTGTGGGCCAGTTTTATTCAGAAAGCAATGTTTGTCATTAACCCCTTGCCCTCCAGAGGATTTACCATCCCCCCCTTTCCTGACCAGGCCATTGTTTGCGATATGGCTCTGCGTTACTTTAACTGACAATTGCGCGGTCGTGCAACGCTGCACCCAAATTACATTGACATCCCTTTTTCTTCACAAATACAGCTTTCTTCTGGTTGTATTGAATCGCCTGTGCGTTTTTTATTTTTTGCGTTATAAGCAAAAAAAAAGATCAACAATTTTGAATAAAAAAAAAATATTTTTTACTTTTTGCTATTAACCCCCCTGGAGGTATTCCCGAGTGTAGCTCGGGGTAAAGTTTCAGCACCACAAGCGGTTACCCCCCCCGAGCTACACTGAGGAATACACTGCAGCATTGCTCTGCGATTCCCTGCAGCACTTACCTTGTCCTGCGCTCCCGCGATGTCCCTCCTGCAGTGTCCCCTGTAATGTCCTCCGGCCGATGCCGGCATCTGTCTTCCGGGTTCCATCCCCTGCGACGTCGGGACGTACGGGGGACGGAACTGGCGGGAAATTTGAAAATGTCAAAAAGTGACATTCACTAAATCCACTAAAATCACATAGTATAACATTCCTGTATCAAACCATTTCACATACATTTTGTCCCGAGTGCTTTGTCCTGTCCCCTGCCTGCATTTTTACTGTTCTTTCTGCCTGGAAACTGAGAACCGTCCATGGCGTCCAAAAAGCGTCCCTTTAGGTCAGACGCGGTTTTAGAGCGGCTAGAGAACAGCGATAGTAAATCAGAACCACTTGCAGAATTGAGTGATAATGATTGGTGGGGGAAATTCCTCATCAGACACTGAAAACGATTCTGCGACTGAGCTCAGCGATGTGCGAACTTGGCGCTCTATTTCACATTTCAGTGTTTTTGGTTTGATTATATTATTGAATTAAATTTATTATTATTATATTATTATTATTTTATGATTATTTATTAAATTATAATTTATAATTTCGTGTTTCAAATTTTATCCTCCCCGGGATGTTTACTAGACTCTTGTTCAGACAGATTTCAGTGAGTTATTCCTAAAAATTACAGCCTACAATAAAAAAACAATATATGTCCATGCAAAAAAATGTACCGCTTTGAGCACAGAAATACTGACATCATCAGACCGCTAGGGAGGTTACACATGTCCAGTAAAAAATTGTAAAAAATCAAATTTCGCCATAGATTTCAGCCAGAATGTATTCTGCTCCGTGTCTTTGGTAAAAAAAAAAATAATCCCAATATGTGTAAATTAATTGGTTTACATGAAATTTATAGCGTTTACAAATGGCGGTATACTGTATATACTCAATTTTTTTTTTTACTAGTAATGATGGCAATCAGCTAATTATACTGGGTCTGCAGCAGGTATTCTGACACTGGGGGGGGGGGACTGACTTGGTGTCACTGACATCCCCAGTTTACACACAGATCTCTCCCCTGTCACTGTTCCTCGGCAATCACCGGATGCCGGCGGGGAATCTTTGGTCGGGACCCGGTGATTGACATATGTAGCCGCCAATGGCGGTGCGGGCAGGGAGGTGCGCACGCCCCCTTTCCAGAAATGCAGTATACGTATGTATATATATATATATGTATGTGATTTTGCGCAGCCCTGCCGCCCTGCCACAGTAGTTCTGCTATAGGACGGCGGGGAAGCGGTTAATGAACCTCTAGCGCAATGTACAGCAGATGGGCGGCTCATACAGGCACAGCGAACCACCGGTACGTCAATGCCCTCTCCCAGGTACAGAGCCCCCCCGCCCACCCGCCGGCTCCCGCTGTGACTGGACCCAGCAGCGGTTTGTCAGCAGGTCCTGGCCAATGATTCATGGACGGGGCCTGCTGATCAGCAGTGTCCAATCAAAGCCCAGAGCCCTATACTGAAAATCAATACAGGGCTCTGTACAGAGGAAACGATCTCTCTGTCTCTGTTCCCTGAAAAGCAGGGAGAAGAAACAAAGATTTTTTTTGTAAAAAACTGCACATAATACACACATTTACATTTATTAGGCACATGATTAACCCCTTGATTACTCTGAGATGTTAACCCCTTCCCAGCCAGTGACATTAGTACAGTGACAGCGTATATTATTATCACTGATCGCTGTACTAGTGTCACTGGTGAGGTCAGTGGCAGTTAGTTAGTTCCCTCTCAGTGTCAGTTAGTGTAAGATTGCCCGTCGCATCACATTCCACTATAAGTCACTAATCACCTCCATTAGTAATATAAAAAAAAATAAATAAACATTCCAATATACACTATATTGCCAAAAGTTTTGGGTCGCTGGCCTTTCCACGCCCATGAACTTTCATGGCCTCCCAGTCTTAGTCCGTAGGGTTCAATATTGAGTTGTCCCCGCCCTTTCCAGGCACATGACCTTTAATGGCCCCCCAGTCTTGGTCCGTAGGGTTCAATATTGAGTTGGCCCCGCCCTTTGCAGCTATAACAGCTTCAACTCTTCTGGGAAGGCCGTCCACAAGGTTTAGGAGGGTGTCTATGGGAAGGTTGGACCATTCTTCCAGAAGCACATTTGTCAGGTCAGGCACTGATGTCGGGGGAGGAGGCCTGGCTCGCAGTCTCCGCTCTAATTCATCCCAAAGGTGTTCTATGGGGTTGAGGTCAGGACAGGACAGTCAAGTTCCTCCACCCCAAACTGGCTCCTCCATGTCTTTATGGACCTTGCTTTGTGCACTGGTGGGCAGTCATGTTGGAACAGGAAGGGGCCATCCCCAAACTCTTCCCACAAAGTTGGGAGAATGAAATTGTCCAAAATGTCGCCTTAAGAGTTCCCTTCAATGGCACCTGAAAACACGGGGTGTTTTTGCCAACAATCACGGCTCGTTTTTCCACGGTTCCAGAACCTTTTTTGGGCATTACGTGTCCCGCGATTTTGTTTGTGCAATGGCAGCATGATTGTCTGATGAAAAAACACATTGCGATAGTAGCAAAAAGGTCCCGCATTTTCAGGTGCCACTGAAATTAATGCGTTTTCACATTTGCATGCCGCGTTTTCAAATCACAGGCAGAATCGCGCCGATTCCACCAATGATTTGAAACGCCCTAGTGTGAATGGAGCCTTATGGCTATTTCAACATACACGGCTCAAAATAATGAAAGGAAGACTTTGAAAACCCATCAGATCTCAATGGGAAGGAATCTCCTGCTGGATCTCTATACTGACATGGACGGGGGATGGGTGAGGAACGTAAGGACACCCCATTGATGGAAATGAAAATGATCAACCTACAGAGGACTGAATTCAAAGGCACCTCGAAAATCAAAGTGAAGAAATGATGCAACAGGGGAGTCCATGTTGGTGAAATGTCATTGCAGCAATTCAGAATGGTCCTCAGTAGTCTGTGTGGCCCCCACGTGTTTGTATGCATGCCTGACAACATCGGGGGAGGCTCCTAATGAGACCACGGGTGGTGTCCCAGATCTGGACCAGGGCATCACTGAGCTCCTGGACAGTCTGAGGTGCAACCTGGTGGCATCGGATGGACCAAAACATGACATCCCAGAGGTGTTCTACTGGATTTAGGTCAGGTGAGCGTGGGGGCCATTCAATGGTTTCAATTCCTTCATCCTCCAGGAACTGCCTGCATACTCTCGCCACATGAGGCCGGGCATTGTCGTTCACCAGGAGGAACCCAGGACCCACTGCACCAGGAGGAACCCAGGACCTCCTGCACCAGGAGGAACCCAGGACCCACTGCACGAGCGTAGGTTCTGACAGTGGGTCCCAGGATTTCATCCCCATACCTAATGGCAGTCAGGGTGTCATTGTCTAGCCTGTAGAGGTCTGTGTGCCCCTCCATGGATATGCCTCCCCAGACCATCACTGACCCACCACCAATACGGTCATGCTGAACCATGTTACAGGCAGCAGAACGTTCTCCACGGCTTCTCCAGACCCTTTCATGTCTGTCACATGTGCTCAGGGGGAACCTGCTCTCATCTGTGAAAAGCACAGGGTGCCAGTGGTGGACCTACCAATTCTGGGGTTCAATGGCAAATGCCAATCCAGCTCTATGGTGCCGGGCAGTGAGCACAGGGCCCACTAGAGAACGTCGGGCCCTCAGGCCACCCTCATGTAGTCTGTTTCTGATTGTTTGGTCAGAGACATTCCCACCAGTGGCCTG